ACACACACACACACACACACAGTGAAACTTCTTACCATTTAGAAGTATCAGATGTGGTCATTTGTCTTCAGTGAGAAGGACAAGAACACAGGCTACAGAAGAAAACAAAACACATCAGAGTCAGTCCACATGGCTGATGTGCACAACACACTGCTTATGTAATCTGTTACCTTATGATCTCCCATGCAGACATTAGGACCCATTGTGTTGTAAACAACACTCTTCTCACCATCGTCTCTCTGAAAAGAAGAATGAACTTGAAGATCATTTATATGTAAACATAACGAACAGATTCTTCTTAAATTATATTAAGTTAAATGTTGAGTATCACATTTGTGTGGGCTGGGTTATGTTCATAGTGGATTTACATCACATTACATATTAAAGGTTATACAGTATGTGTGCACGAATGTAAAACCGTGTCCAGGTAAATACTTTTTTAAATTGGCAGTGTGAGTGAAGTGTCGTGTAGTATTAAAAAATTTGTGTGTCCTCTAACATCCTGTGTGCTGATTTATTTGTAAAAGTCTTAATTTTCTAGTAAAATCAGAAGAAAGTGACGTCCATGCTCTGCTTGCATGCTGTGCCAATGGTGTGTAAGACCAGCCAACATTTTTTTAGAACCAGAGCCCACTAACTTCAACTAACGACCATCTCCCACACAACACAGACTCCATCACAAACAAGACAAGAAAGAGAAGTATGCGAAGCCCGTTGTCTAATGACTTGTGATTGACAACTTCTTATGCAATGAAGATGTAGTTTTACACCAAAGTTAATCCTCAATTTCAAAATATGATCCAGAACAATCCCAAAAACTCAGGAGGACTTTTACAGACTTTGGCTCACAGACTTCTACAGGAAAAGAAGTCTTTTTGCAAACACAGGTATCACCATCTGTTAGCTAACATTAGCTTTCCTGCAAAAACAGACAAACTGCAAGCTACATATTGTAGCGAAACACTATCTTAAATAGATAATGCTAGCTAATTTTTTTAAACCCCTAGAACTCCTCTGGCTGATAAATTAACCCGTCACTATCAGCAAAGGTTTACGAACTAACCAGAGTCAGAGTCATGCAGCATAATTGGTTAACCTTAAAATGTTGCTAACTAATGCTACTGCTAAAACACATTGACTAGAAATGTTGGCTGGCTAGCTTGCCAAAGTGCTTCCTTAACACGTCATGCTAACTCACGTATTATATCAAATTGTGTTCTTGTCATCATGAAATGATGTGATTGTGCAAAGACTCACCCTGTGGATTAAATCTTGGGCTGTATGTGACATAAGGATGCGATCACACCAGGCAGGACAGCGAGTGTTCATGTACTGGGTTGGTTTAGCATGCTCTTCACTGTATGGGTAGCTGAGCACAAGACAAGAGGGGAACAAATTCTTAAAGCATGAAAAGTAAATGGCAGAAATTTGCAGCAAGTAGCAGAGTTACAGACCTTGGTGGAAACTTGATGCCCTCTTCCCTAATAACATCATGGAAGGCTGCAACTTCTTTGTCATACTTCAAAAGCTGAGCGACAGAAGCCATTATGGTTACAAATGACTACAAACGTCAACACATGAAAAACAAGCATGATGTGAGCGAGTGCAGATTTAACATGGGGGATAATTTGGGTTACTGCTACTAATGTTTCTCCCTTTTTGTGTTTACTGCGCTGTCATTTCTTTGAAGTATTCCTGCTGATGGAATCTAAAATCTAATCTAATCTAAAATCTCTGAAGACAGGTCAAACTAAGTTTCCCTTGAGTTTCTCAGTAGTGCAACTGATGATATCTTTATGGGTGAAAGGTGAGCTTGTGTTCTTACTGCTCTGCCATTGTCCTCTCTGAAAACCGCCTGGTGCAGGTAGGCAAAAAGCTTCTCCTCAATTCGAAGCAGAACCTAGAGGTGAAAAGGAGGCAGAGAAAGTAACTTTTGAAGCAGATAATTCTGGCTTTTCTTTTTTTAAACAAGATTCTCTCGTTTCAATCACCTGGTGGTCGTTATCCTTTTCTTCATATATGATTCTCTGCACTTCGTTACTGCTGTCCTTCTTCACCATCTGCACATCGGCAGCAGTAGACAAATCCTGGTCAAAAAACACAAACGAGAGGGTTTATGTCAAAATTACAGACTGGTACATGATTGCAACACTTGAACTTTGGGGAAAATGAATGCTCTTGCATACCTGGACCAGACTAAGTGTATCCAGACGGAAGTTGAAATCTCCAAACACAAAGAAAGGCAGCACAGTTTGCCGACTGTCTGATATCCTGGAAAAATAAAAATACTACCTTAAGCCATAACACAGGGTTTTAATTCTTAATCCCAATGTACTTTGTATGTGTTGATTCTGTTAAAATGCTCATTCACTGGATAAGAGGAGCTACATGATAGCACATTTTGAATATTATGTTTTCATACAGTAGCGTGCAGCTGCTAGTCTCACCTGCTGATGACATATCTGAGAGCGTTATTGCGGTTGGCTGAGTAAATGGAAGGACTGGAGTTGCAGGCAATGAGGTTAGAGGCATCATGGAACAGGTGGACATTTACCAGGTCTAGACCTCTGTGAAAACACCCCCGACACACACAGGCAAAAGAAGGTGAGTTGTGGCAGACGGAGGGGAAAAAAACAGGAAACAATCCGATAACTCCAAAGCCTGACATCAGATAGGTGTGTATGTGAGTCTGTGTGTGAAATAACAGGTGTCATTTACAGGAGCTTTCTTATCAATGAGCACACTTGGGTTAATGTTCAGTCTACAAACAAGTGCAGTTCACTGGCTCCTTTTCTTAGGCTGTCACCAGAAAGCAATTAATGAGCATCTCACAAATGAGCTGTGTTGACTCACAGTATGATGCTGTGGTACATTAGATTTTGAGCTCCTGTTGTTCCAGTCCCAAGGTAACAACACAGCAGAGCAAATACTGACTACTACTATGAAATTAAAACCCTGCTCACCATCCTATAACATGCCGAGTCTAAGCTCCCAACAGAGCACCACATTAAATTAATTATTTATATTCTGTGAGTGTAACCAGTGAAGTAAAGAGGACATTTTTGTCAAAACAAAACCCAGAAGATATTAATAACTGGATGATAAGAAACCACAAGGTCATCGGAGCAGCTGAATGTGAGCCTCACTGTTTGTTTTATATCAGCTTTGATAGATCAAAGTAGGTTTTAAATGTCCTCTTAGATGTTTACTGAGTAAAATTTTATTTGCTTGTCTTCAAGGAACTACAATATTTGACCTTCAGTTTACTGAGGGATGCCGAAGCATGCTTTAAAAACAAGTATGACATAGTGGCTAACAGTTGCTTTAACTCCAGCAGTTATGGTTCCATATTGTAGGAGCTTAAACATACTGATACCAAATACTGTAAAAGATGGACAAAGCCAATGTGGACATACCAAATATGATTTAATAACATCTTTTTTTAATTATTATCAAAGGTTAGGTCCTATCAGTGAAATGTATACCCAGCCCTCTGATGTGATGTCTTATCTGAACATTGACCCATGGGACATTTTTTTATTTATTTAACTTTGACAGTCAGTCAAGGACTTTGGGCTCATAACAATCTTTTACGCTGCTTTTCCAATCTTTTAAAAACAGGCTACATATTTGTTCCCAAGGGTGTTTTTATTGTAAATGTATTTTTCCAAAAACGTCACCAAACAGCCACACATGAAAGTGTGTTCAACCCTGCTGGTGCATCACGGTGAAGGTGAGTGTTTGTTACGTACTGGTTGTGTATAATCCAGCGGGTCCTCATGAAGCCCTTTCTGGACCACTTGAACTGCAACAGAGGAAAAACTGGAGTGAGTCACTAAACAGCAGTGAGCTGTGTCTTTAAAGGGCTAAATTGATAATTATTGATTCTTGCACATAATTTGTCTCATCACCCTGTCAGAGCAGGCAGACGGCCCCCCGAAAGCCCCAGTAGACTCATTTGTCCCAACATCTCCTTTGGCCCATGTTTGCCCCTCCCGACAGGCATACCCAGATGCACAGTCATGCATACATACTCACATCAGGCCAGAAATTCTTTGGGAATTTTTCTTTCTCCACGGTGGTGACCCTGTCCAGAGAGCCCATATACCTGTTCTTTTCCAGCACTGCTTTAAAATTCTTAACTGTGAGAGGCAGAGCCAAGGAGGTGACATGTAAAAGAGTGAGAAAACATGCAAACAGCAATCAATAAACTGGTGTTAACCTCATCAGAGGGGCATACATGATGAGCAAATCTATAAGCGGGCCATTAGACTGTGTTCGGCGAACAACAATCGTTTCGGGCCACGCAGCGAGTGGCAGCTTCGGGATGTTTATGGTCCTTCCATAAGCTTTTCTGAGGAGCTTTTTCACATCTAACGTGACTGGACTATGCAACAGCAAAATAGCCGCTCCACTTTAAATTCGAGTTCTTTGCAAATAGGAGACGTAGCCTTCAAACTGCCAGCACAGTTTGCCAGAGAAATGTCCAACAATTAAACACCGACAAGGATTTTGCAACAGCACAACCGACTGCACCAAAGGAGGGAGGATTCTATCAAAACAATGCATTGAGTAATAACCATTGGTGCGTTCCAACACGTTGTTTGGAAAATAAACTAAATTTAGCACAACATGATGAATGATGAAATAGGAAATCCATGTAAGCGTTGTGTTTTTTTTACCATGAAAGTCATACTGTTGTATATTTTTCAGTGTCTTGTGGATGAAGTACATGCTCCCCAAAGCCTGTGGATAGAAAAGATATAGCAGTTACAATCAGTTTTAGGTAAACCACTTCAAAAAAATCATAGTGAAACTGGACTTTTAATCGTTCTGCAGAGGCTTTTGGTTTCATTCATCCTCTTCAAAGAAAGCAAGAACACATGGTATGCTTTGTGCATTGGGAATGTATGACACAGTGCATTGTTACTCTCCAAAGAGATGGCAAACTTTAAGTAATAAAGTATTTCCAAGAGGACGTATAACTGCACAGCACATCCACGCGCTGCTTCTGAGACACGCACACTTCAGTACCCAATCATCCCTGACGTGGGGCTGACAATTTTTAATGTACTAACTGCCTGCTCCACTGATCTGATTAATCGCGGCCCGTGAAATCAATAAAGACAGAAAATTAAAACCATTTAAAAGGTATTAAGCAGTGAGCCCGCTGTCTGCCAACACCGCTGCTGCAAACTGGGAGCTGAAGAAAAATCAGCCGGCACTCAAGAGGGCTCAGGGCGTGACAGACCGCGGTGACAGACACCCCCCAAACACACACACACACACACAAATCCAGCCGCTACATGAGAAATTTCTCCCTGAAGAATTCATTTATCTTCAGTGCCAAAGTTGTCCACAATAAATAAAATTAGATATGTCTCCGTGTTTGTCTGCGAACTGCAGTTGGTGACCAACTTGTCTGAATGAAGATTTAAGCAATGAGTTATTTAACCGAGTCTGAAATTGTCCTTAACTTGTATAGCAGCTTGTAGACTCAGGAAGGAAGTCAGATCCCACTGAAGTTATGTTGGCACTTTTTTCACAAAATTGGGACATTAGAAATGTACTCTAACAATTCATAAAACATGAGATGGCCAACCCTTTTCGCTTTGTTTATGCTAGATTAGTAACAATGTTATATACTGTAAAGTATGTGCACACACGTCGGCGCACACAGAGGCACATTTCCCTCCTCGTTTTCCTCCACATACTCTGCCAAACACCTATCTTCATCAATCAGGTTTGTGCACAGTTTAATAAAAAAATATTGACTTACAAGTGATTTTTTATCAAAACACCATTTGTACTGGGAATTCATGCAAGTCTTCCCCCTCTGCTTCTGCAACCCCTCTGAAAAGAGAACCCACCACCCCTCCCCAAATTCTCTCATGGCCGTATAACTGATGATCGCAGCCAAGGGGAAACAAATTGAAAATCAATGCAGGTGGCACCGACGAAATGAGAATGAGGCATTAGGTGGGGTGGGGTGGCTGCAACCCTCCCAGGGCAAACAGCGGGGGGTGCAAACACTCAAGTGCAGAGGAAACTTAGTCCCGGCTGTCTTCTGCCCCCAACACACTTTATTTATTGTGTACAAATAGGCTGGGATCAATAGTTTTAATCTAGAGTTAAATGTATTGACTTTGGCCTGTCTCTACTCTCACCTGGCCATTGAGTTTCCCCTTTTTTACTTCACGCACCTTCAGTCTACAGATGCAGCCATTGACCCCTACTGTCAAATGTTCAGCGTGAGGGTATCACCTGGGAGGAGTGTGGGTTAATACTTTAAAAAACACTCTACTGTGCAAAAGTCTTGAGCTGACTGTCCTTTCTTTCCGTTTTGCTAAGAAAGTGGGAAAAAGGCACTGCGATTTATTGAAAAATGTGCAAACATGCATGGAAAAAACAGGTTGAACAATTCAAACAGCTTGAAAGTGAATATTTGGTGTGAGCGCCTCTATTCTTCAGTAAAGCCTGAACTCTCTTAGACACGCTTTCTTGTGTTTTTTTTTTTTTTTAGGTAGTTTTCAGGAATAGTTTTTCAGGCTTCTTGAAGGACATTCAAAGCTCTTCTTTGGATGTTGGCTGCCTTTTGTTTTGCTCTCTGTCAAGATGATCTCACACTGCTTCAGTAATGCAGAAGCCCAAAATCTGCCCAATACCACTGGCCAAAATGCAGTTCCAGCCTCCCCCTGGTTTACAGATGCAGTAGACACTCACTGTTGTTCTTCTCTCCTGACCTCTGTACATACTGACATATCCATTTGAAGCAAGGTAAGGTCTTTACCTTACAATATATGGGCTTTGAGGCAACTCTTGTTGTGATTTAGAGCTATATAAATAACATTAAATGATTTGACTTTCAGATGCTGTTGATCTGCTGTATATAGATTTTTTGCCTGACTCTTCAGTTTCCTCTCTACAAAGTATGCTGAGACATGTTTTTGGCTCATAGCTTTTTCGGACTCAACTTGTTGATACAAAAATAGAAACAAATAGTATGATTGCAACAGGCTGCTAGTAACAAAGTGCCTAAAGTTACAATTTAAAACTGGTTCTTTGCTAAGCTGTCCATAACACGGGCTTATCCCTTGAATTTCATGGCTTTTTAAAATCTTGAATGATTCATAGGCCAGTGTTAAGAAGCTTAACAAAAAAACAAAACAAAAACATTGCCCTGACTGGCCTGAAAATAAGCAAAAAAGCAGCCAGTGGTTAAAGAAAAACTTTAAAAGCTCGTCAGAAAACCTGGAGAACCATTGCTCAAACAACTTTTAAAAAATTACAAGAAAGTCTGGTTCCTCGAAAGTGAAATAAAAAAAATGAGGGGTGAGTCACAACTTTTGCACTTCCAGCTAGGGGCAAAATTTCTAGGAAACTAATACTGTTGAACCAGTTAAGAGCCACTGTGAACTTTAAGAAATCATTTTCATTACTTTCTAAGAAAGATATTAAAAACTTGTTTGTATTACATGAGGACAATAAAAAAGAAGGTGCATACAGAAAACGTCTTTCATAAAAGGTGTGGACGATGAGGCTTAATCTGTGACTGAACAGCATTCCAACAAAAGACCAAGGATTCAGCTCATGACATTAAGAAATGCCGGGAGCAGCATGAGATTTAACAGACCTGTCTTTAAGAGCACCTCCTCTCCCTGTGCTCATATTGCGCAACAGCTTTAGCGCTGTTTTGTGCTTCATCTTTGAGATCAATGTCACTTACACAAGGCTGTTGTTTTGCACATCTAACATTCTGCAGTGAACTGAAAACTGACTCCAGCTAGGAAGTACTACTATAGTATGTTCAGATTTCAGCAGATTTTATTTGCAATGTCCTGATCTTTAACATGATGATCAGAATAACAGTTAGACTCACAGAAAAGTCTGTTTGGGCAGTCTGTGGCAACCAGTGTTGGTCAAGTTACTTGAAAATAGTAATTAGTTAATAATGACTAATTACTTGTCCAAGAAAGCAATCCTGTTACTTTACTGGTTACTTATTTTCAATAGTAATTAGTTACTTTATTACTTAGTTACTTTTAAAAAACATGACACAATATGTAATAACACAATAGACCTTTTCACCCTAATTCTATTTTTTCTGCATAATCCATCATGTAAAATTGAATCAAATGAAAAAGTCTATTTTAAAGATTGTTTTAATCCTTTAATTTCATGCACATTGCATCAAGCAAAAATGCAATTATATGCAACTGTCTTTAACATTTAAACCTATTTTCTGCATATTGCAGCATAGACACTAAAATAATGTTTTGTGTTTACACTCACGCTTTTAAATAGATGCCAGTAAAACACAGCAAAAAATAAATGAAATAAAAGATTGCAATGCAATCTGGAGTCAGTAAGCACGTTTTTTGTTTCACTGTGTTGCGTCACTCTCAGAAACTTCTGATTTTCCCCAGCAGAGTGCATTGAATGCATCCAGTTATCATTGCGCATTAACATGTAAGAGAACTCCATCTAGTGGAAACACACAGCAACTACTCTGTATGAGACGTTTTTGTGTTTCTTACCGTGAAGCTATCTTCTACTTTGAACTGGTTGTCCACATAAATGCAAGACCTGTCAAAGTCTTTCATTTCTTCACTGGACTCGAGGGTCCTGGTAACAGCAGAGCAAAAAAGTATGATCACTGCACTGGAGGTTTCTTTGTATACAGATCTAACGAACTAAGAGTCTTCTGACTACAACTATACAACCATCAATTAATGTTATGTTTTTAAATAAAGATGTAATGACTTGACTGGTTCTCGCTTCTTGAATGACATCAAACCGTAGATGGTTTTCATTTTTTTGACACATTATAAGGAACTGTTTAATTGACAACAATGAATCAATGGAAATGGCGAAATGCATTATAATCAGCATATTAATCCTACCAGAAGAAGTTTTCTGCATGGCCCATGTTTAACATGTAGTCCTTTCCTCCAACCTCCTGGAAGTGCAGGGCAACAAACTGTGGCTTGTAGCTCTGGATAGTCTGTTATAAAGCAAAGCAAACAGTCTCAGTGCAACGTACATGCTTACACTAAAGAGCACTGAGGGGTGTAGAAGGTCAATAATGATTGTTACAGGATGAAGGCAACTGTCCTTTAGAGAAGGGCTGGTAATGCTATCAGTTTAAGTACTGGATTGCACCGATGACGCACATGCATGCACACGGCTGAGTTGTAGTTCCTTCCGTAAATCTATGTAACCACATCAGACTGACTTCATGAAACCATATGTCTCTCACATCTCTTACTGCCTATCCCTCTTCATCTGCTATACATCATCATCCTCACATGTCGCTGCTTGAAGGATGTAATTTCTTAACATAAAACCTCTTCGAAACATTAGCGTTTTCCACAGAATGTTCCTGCAAATGTTTCATAATTTAATCCAGTTTAAAAAATTAAAGATTTCTCTCTAGGGAAGACTCTTAATTTGAAATACAAGATACACAAAGTATGTCCAATGTGTGGGCAATGCAAATCAATCAGCACATCTTAAATATTTGACCATTCAGTTTGTCTCGATTGGTCTTTTAATTGTGATTTTTGAATTTCAACACTACATCTATGAATGGAGGCCAGGTGAAGGTTTACTATTACTGACTATCGGTGTTAGTCCTTCTGCAGATATGTTATCAGTATTTACAACTGTATAATAGAACAGTGGACAGAACCAACACAGGTTTCGCTTCCTAGAAGTGGCCATACTCCCCCAAAAAAAACAACCCAAAAACATGAAATATCACATTCTGAAATCTGTAATATTATTATTGCAACATGCAGAAGCTCAAGCTTACCTTGTACAGTTGTTTTAACCATTCACTTTGAATTTCACCGACCTATGAAATGTAAAAACATACAAACAAACATATATATATATATAATTTGGGCTCAGATCAACACATTTTTTCAGTACATCTGGAAATCATAATTTTTTTCATAGGTTTTTTATTTGTAGGTGTCAAAAATGGACAATATTTACTTTCCCATTTTCATCATCTATGAGAACATGATGTCCCTATTTAAATTTCAGAGATCGTGAGGCTAAAGGCAGCAGAGGTTAACCAATTTGCAGTGAAGAAGAAGAAACTCATAACACTGACAACACAATAGATATTTAATTCATGTTTTTTCCTTTTAAATGTTATTTTCTCCCTCACTTGCACAGATATAATCATATATCACTGCTATTGCAATGTCTCAATTATCACAGTGCCATGATAACAGTATTATTGTGGACAATTATGTATGTATGATATTATGATATTATTATGTAAGTATGATATCATCTATTTTTGAATTGCTCCATGATTACCATGCCCACTAATTAATATGTTTTAAAGATATTAAATGTTGCTTTATGTCATTAGTAGACCAAATTAAAGAAACAGGGTTAGTCTAATCTTCAACCATTTAAAATGTTCAAAGCTAAAGGACTAAAAATATTGCAGTCAAAATAAAATATAATAACAAAATAAATAAAATAACACTCTCTCTCAGTTTTGACATTTATTGGGACAAAATAAAAAAAAATCATCTGGCCCTTAGCAGGTTCAAAAATTATTTAAATACCATCCCTCATAAACAACTGCACATTACATATTACACTGTGTAATTATTTAGTGAAAAACTAAAGCAAAATGCAGAACGAGTGTGTGAGAAACTAAGTAGACATCTTGTAGGAGCACGTTTAGCAGGAAATTAAAGTAATCATTATCTTTATGACTTTATCAGTCTCTCACATCATTGTGGAGATTTGCTGCTTTGCTTGGGCTCATTCTACGATGGCCCTGAGAGGCCAAACGTACTGCAACTTCAGAAAACACTTGCAAAAAGAAAAACACCTGCAAAAAGAAAAATGCTCCAAAAGCACACAAGACACAACGGAAATGTTTCTGGGGAGACAATAACCCGACGGACCAGTTGCACGAACCAAAACATGCTAACAAGTGCACTGGGACTGGGAGACACTTCAAAGAAGTGGAAGCAGGGCGGCCAAAGAGTAAACTTTCAAAAGTAAGTACTGAATATTATGTCACTTATTTATGTGCAAATGTTTAATAATGAAGAATATTAAAACATTACTGTTGGCCACCAGCCAGCAAAGTTATGTGACATTAGCGATGTTTGTACTTTCAGCGTTTACTTTGTTTTAAAGCCTTCATACGCCGTTCGATAGTCGACCGTAATCTTACAGAGAATCTGATGATTTTGTGGATAATTAAAGTCAGTCATATATCCACAAACACAACAGGCTGAAAGTCAGTGATGCTGCTCGGTTTGCAGTCCTGAATATCACGGCACAAGCAGGATTCACTGCACTGTTAATGTTAGCTATGTTATATTGCTGCCTCTGTTCGGTGGTGTCAAGCCAAACGAACTTTAACATGTGTTTGAACGAGCTGACGGTTCACTCGTTAAGCTGAAAGAAAGATGCTTTAATCACAGGAGTCACACATGTGTCCACTGTACCATCTGGGAACTCTTCTTGTTTAGCACTGGTAATAACACAAACACTGTCACCTGTCTGTCTGTCCTGCACTCTCTCTCTTTTTCTTTCTCTCTGATTGTGGAATAAAAGTATGAACATGTATTTATAAGTTACACTTGTGTTTGAATCCTGCAGCTTATCACACATTTGATTTCCATGTGTGACAACTGCAAGTGTCCAGAGTGAGGACAGACTGAGGGACCCACTGCTGCACATCATCTGTGAGGCTTTGCACCCCTGATGATCCACCAGGACAAACTCAGCAGTGTGTGAGGAAGAGGAGGAGGAAGAGCCAGCAGCAGCTGACAGATGGAGAGAATAGACAGACTGTTCCCTGTTTGTGAAGGACTGCTAGAAAAGTTTAAAATAACTAATTGTCTGTCCTGAATCAGTCTTATTAGGTAATGTTCAAATAATTTTATCATTCCAGTGTTTTCAGTGTGGGAGAAAGTACTCAGGGACTTCAAGTTACACACTACGAAAGGCAGCAACAAGTTTAATGTCCAGAAACTTAAAGTATGTATCAGCAGCAGAATGGAGCTAAAAATAAATGTTTGTTTCAGTTCTATGAAGCTTTGAGAATTTTACATTAGTAGTACTGCTGTGTTTGTTGCATCATATTGCTGTAATTGTTTATATGCTTTATATATTCTGAGGTAAGTTGATCTATAGTGTTACATCATATTCTATAAGAATGTTATGTGTTTGTAGACTTTCTGCCCATTTTGACCCATTTAGCAGAAGTCAGCCTGTTGAAGGCTCTGATATCTATTCTGTATGACTTAAAGCAGTTATGACATGGTATGATTTTCTCACCCAATAAAGGAATATTTAATATATCAGTCAACTCTTCATTCTATCAGAAACAGTTATCACAGCTCGTACATTTTCTTTTTAAACATATATGTAAGCATTGAGACAAATTTAGTAATGCCAACATATTAAAAGAACAATATTTGTCTCTTATATATAATACATCTATAGATACACTGTCAAAGATACTTGTCTTTGAGAGAAGATTTAAGGTGATAGGAAATATAAATAAATGCAACTTGAATCTTTACTGAAGCTCAGTATTTGACACGGAGTTCAAACTCACTGCTGTAATAACTAATAATGATTAATATAATAACTATAATATTGGCCATATTATATTTACATTACCAAAGTGAGATGACTTTAGTCTCATGAACAACATTAGCTAATTGTTATTTACTAGCTAATCTTAAATGACTGTTCAGTACAGAAATGAAGCCCAACAATCATGTTATACAGTCCTGTGGTCTCAGCCTTATCAAATCACACAAAAGCTCATGTAGAAACAAATGTACAAAATATGTTCTCCTTCATTTCTGTCAAACAAAGCTGTATGAAACGTTTCCAGCTGTTAGTATCATGGTTGCTAGGCAACCTGGGCAGCGCGACAGAGGCTAGACCGTCCCATTTCACAAGCCTACAAGCCTCGCACTTCCGGCCTCAGCGGTCTTTCAGTACGTATTTTATGCCTGTTTTATTTTCTCTTTTTAAATATTTTTATGACTTGTAATCTTATGTGCAGCACTTTGTGAATCTGTCTTGAAAGGTGCTATATAAATAACAATTTATTTATTTATTTATTTACGCGGCCCTTGAGGACCGTTAAGGCTGCAAACCCTGAATTGGGATACAGCCTGTCGCTACCCGATCCGTACCAGAAACCCGATCGGTACCCCGCATGCGCAAATCTTACGTCACTTTGCCAACATTGCGACATTCAATATATTTGAATGATACGGTTAGCGCCCAGTTAGCACCTAGCATTTCTCAACAGCTCTGCCTCCTTTTCGACTACCGGGACATTTAAACAATGGATAATCCGTATACAAACAAATTCATGCTTTTCTCCTCAACAGAGAGCATTCCCCGATTGAACAACAGCGCCGTAAAATAAGAAGAATGGCGCCTAATTACAGAGTTAATAATACAGACTTTGTAATGTGTCACGTAAAGATTCATGAGCCAGATGAAGTGTTTACTGACAATTGACAGTGATAGCGGTTAGAGCAGGGCGATATGGCCAAAAATATTTATCACGATATATATATGAAAATTTGCGATAACGATATAACTGACGATATAATTGATGGGAGACAAAATACAACTCCACAACATTACTAGCGCAAAAAGACAACCTTCCATTTATTTTCACTTAAACAAGAAGCTGGTTTTTATGTACATTAAAGCTTTAGAAAAATGTAACAGTGCAAATGCAAATTCCTTGCTGAAAGTATAACCAAAAGGCATTTCCAGTAGAAATGGGCTGACATATCCTGAGCATAACCATGTATAATATCCACTGAAGTTAAAAAGAGGTGCTTTGCAACATTAAACTGCAGTGTGCAGTACGTATTTTTCAGACCATAAGGTGCACGGGATTATAAGGCACATTAAGCGAAACAAAGCAGTCAGATAAATCAAACTTTATTAAACTCATTCTTCTTGCTTCCTCCACTTCTGTACCATTGATTCATTAATGTTGAATTCTCTGGCAGCTGCTCTATTCCCATGTTGTTGCAGTATATTAATGACTAACCTCGTATTGTGGATGGATTATCTCAGTTGTTCTCCTGACTGAAGTTTGGTCCGTTTACAGCATCCTGCCATGCGATTGCATTTGTCTCTAACCATGAGGAACCTTCACGTTAACTTTTATAAGTGGAAAAGTGTTAGTGTTCGTCCTCCAGCTTCACTGTTTATGTTATGCTAACATAGCTGTGTCGCTAGCGATCACGTAGCACATCATTATATACCAGCTAGCCCAACTTCAGTAACCCTACAAACGTCACTGCTGTTTAGTTTCCTGTCTTCATTTATGTTGGAAGTGATAGCAGAGCTGTACGTTTGAATTTTTTCAGAAATCTCTCAGTCAGAACATGCTATATCATGCTTAGGTAACTAGCGAAACTAGCGAGCTAACTTCCGCTAGCTTCCTGCTAACTTCTAACTCCGTTAAATGTAATAACTTTTGTTTTCATGGATGCCTGGAAGTTAAACTTCATAGTTACACCTGGTAAAGCAGCAATGCTGATCGTTTTATTAAAGATGAAAGAATTTAGACAGGTTTTAACTCTCAGTGATGCTGCAGTGTTGTTTGACCTGAAGCATACAGAGTTTAGGACCCAGATTACTCCCAGATTTAAGAGCATCTTAGTCCGACAAATACGACAATAACAACGGCCGCTTGCATGTTCTGCAAAAAAATGTGCTTTGTTGTGTATCTGACGGACAAACACCAATCCAGTTCCACATCACTGAAGTTGCACCATTTTTACAAACCAATTCTGGTTCATCTGTTTCACTCAACAATCG